CGGTAAACAGAGATCTTTAACTTACAGCTCAGCTCCCTCTCCACCACAACAGACAGGTACAGAGTCCGCAATATCGCAGAAGCCACACAGATACTTCTGTTAATMTCACGCTCCATTCTTCCCTCACTCCYRAACAAGACCCCAAGATACTTGAACTCCTCACCTTGAGGAAGAACCTCACCTCCAACCCAGAGAGAGCAATCCACCCTTTTCTGACTGAGGACCATGGACTCACGCTTCACACTCTGCTGCAAACCTTGTAACACTGCCATAATAAGCCTCCAAAAACAGGGAACAAATCTACAGTTATTTTTACCACCAGGAAATCTGAAAAAAATCTGTTCATTCAAGCTAAAGATGGTAACTTTGTGAAATCATCCATCTGGAATCTCATGTCTTTTTTTTATTAATAAATTAAGTTTGTAGGACAGATTTCTATAATTAGATTTTAGAAATAATTAAAAATTGTCTGAAGAAATTAAAGAAACTGAAGACATTATTTTCACAATATGTCTGTAACTTGGCTTGTAATGTGATTCTATGTTAATTAATTTTAATTTTTATTGGGGGGGAGGGGGGGGTCCCTACTTGGTGAACTACATGAAAGTGCTGCTGATGCTGATCTTTTTTTACATCACTGCTCACTGATGAGAGTGACCACAACAAGACAATAAATTAATACTACAGTGGATGTATGTGGAAAGAAAGCAAACAAGTAAACAAATATAACAAGATCACACTACAATTTAATAAATGTAATTGTGATTCTGTTACACTAAAAATCTTCTGTTTATGCATTCAGTCTGAAACGACTAAATGTTTTTCTGCCTTTCTTAGTCTGAGTCATGCTTTCAACCATTCCCTGCTGAGCTGAACTTTGTTTTTTTATGTTTAGAATTAAATGGGCAAAACAACCAAAGGAAAATTAATTTTGGAGAAGCAGGGAATTAATAATCTTGACAACACTAGGGTGTCTGTWTCGCTTTGTTTATGAAAAAAGAAAAAAAACCAGCAGCTAATTTTCCACTCAGAATGCGCTGCTTGCTGTGCAAATACTGTGACGTGACGAAGAGCAGCTTTTCTTCACTTGTTTTTAATGACTTTGCGAAATGTAACGACAACGAACGAGATTCATTACGACAACGAACGAGATTCATTAGCACTGTGAGACAGAATAAACAGTTGATTTGTCTTTAGACAGGACTTCACTTGCTGGGTGGGTCACGTGATCAGGGAACAAATTAACCTTTCTGTCACAAATAAAAATAGGGCTTTTTTACTGGTGTTTGTGTAGACAACGATTACGATTTCAATCAAAAATTACAGCAAAATTATGAATCCTGTACAGTTTTTCAGGGTTCCCACACCTTGGTCAACATCAAATTCAAGGACCTTCAAGGACTTTCCAGTACCAATTTCCTCAAATTCAAGAACCACGCACAACGGCAATTACCTACTRCTATTGGAGAATGTTACCAAAATAAAAAGTTTTAATATCATGTAAATTCAATGAAAAACTTGGAATCAATGAAAGAAAGTGGAATAAAATATATACCCTACATTCATATCTACAATACATGAACATGTAATTATGTCCTGGGAGGTTCAGCAGCTCAGTTTGGGAGGAGGGGATGTGAACATGTCCAGACACTCGGTGAGGACAGGAGGAACTGTGGTGCTTCACCTGGGCTCAGAAAGAAAGACCCGCCCTACTCTGCTCTGATTGGCTAAAACTATGACTATGGCTCACGTTATTTGTTCAAAGCCACATCAGTTTACCGTAATCCTGAGTTTTCCACCACAACTAATGTGTATTATTATCTTTTTAAAATTTTATTCTTTTATTCATTCATTCATTTATTTATTTATTTATTTAT